ATTGCTATAATAAGACACCATGACCAAGGAGGCTTATGGAAGGAAGAGTTTATTTGGAGCTTATGGTTTCTGAGGGCTAGAGTCAACATCATCATATCAGGGAGCATGGCAGCACACAAACAAGCATAGCTCTGGAGCAGCAGCTGAGACAGCTCCAGCCAGAAACAGGAAGAAAGGGGAGATGTGCACTGTAGGTAGCAAGAGGCTTTAGGAACCTCAAATACTGCCCCATGACACACCTTCTCTAACAAACGTCACACCTCCATACCGTTCCCAGCAGTTCCACCAACTGGGGACCAAGTATTCAAACATATGAATCTATGAGGGTCATTCTCATTCAGACCACGACGAGGACCAAGATGGGAGAGAAAAGTCTACAGATAATAGAAAGGTTCTGGAGATTTAGGTCAGTCAGTGTCTTATTAACAAACACAGTCATTCTAAGACTAAATTGAGAGCCGAGTGAGGTGGCACACAGCCATAGTCCCAGCAGTCGGGAGGCAGAGGACAGCCTGGTATAGAAAGCAGGTCCACGACAGGCAAGGCTACCCTTGTCTCTGAAAAAAAAAAAAAAGACTAAATTAAGATAATAATCTGAGGAGAGACCAGGCTTGCTGTGTGAATGATAGAATGTGAATTTATGTGAGAGAATTTATGGTCTGTTCCTTCTGATAGCAGGATACAAAGGACCTAAGCTGCTGTCTTTAGATCTCTTTAATTTTTTCAGACCAGTCTCAATAAATTCTTACTAGATGTGAGGGAGGGAAGAGACAAACAAAGCATCACTCACGTTATCCTCTCATTGTCTTTTCCATGACTTATATAGTGACCAGAGCTGAGACCTCGCCCATGGTTTCAAATCCCCATCACCCCAACGCTTATCCATGAAAATAAAAGCAATTTCTTACTTTCATGCACAACAGAGTAGAAAGCCGGGGGCGAGATCCCAGGAACCATCCTTCTCTTTGGTTATTTATTTTTAAGACAAAAAATTCTAACCACAACCTCATTCTTCCTAGTGGAGACATTTTGGTGCGCTGGAAAAGTAATTCTGGTGGACTCGTTGTCTAGCATCTATCTTGTCTCTTGAACTGTTAGACACTTTGAGCCCACATTTCTTCTCTTTCTGAACTAGAAAAAGAAACTTAACATGGGCTTGATTTATCTGTTTCCAAGGGAATAGAAAGTATCTTCCGAAGCCTGATTTGCCTTTCTCATTTCAACTTCCATTTTTAGACAATTGCATACAATATCTATAAAAAGTGCCAAGTATTAATGTTCTCAGAAGTCTGTTTCAAAGTCAACATTTACCAGCGTAAGTTAATTTGTGGGCATATATTCATCACTCACCCTTTAAACATTTTCTAAACATATATCACTTGCTTACTTCTTGAGGTACCAGAAGCACAAAAACTCCTTGTTTGAGTAGCTCATAATTGACCTGCGTAAAGAAGAGATAAACAAAAGCAGACGTGGTGTGCTAAGTTGCTTATAGCATCTTCCAAGAGCCATAGGAATAGTTATGTCATCGTCTGACAGCAAAACTGCTATCATTAATATAGATCTAATAGTCAGGAGTAACACTTATGATAGGTAAACTTAGAAGGGAGGGAAAATATGTTGCCTAGGAACAGGCAAATGGATAATGAAAATGTACACATACACAACGTGCTTTTCTTCAACTGTAAAGGAAAGGGAATTCACGAAATTTACAGGAAAATGGATGCGACTGGAAAACATTATTTGAGGTAACACCGGCTCAGAGAGACCAATACCATATGTTCTCTCCCATGCGATTCCTAGCCTCAGGCTACTGAGTATGTGTTTCCAGGTGGGAGTAAATATAGGAAAAGGCCAGGAAACTAGACAGGGACCCAATGGACTGGGGTGAAGGACACTTTAAAGGAGGTAGGGTGGGGAGGGCAACAGAAAAAGGTGAAGGGGGGAAACGCTGGGGGTGAGAGGGTACAGTGGGAAAGGAGAAGGGTGAGATGAGGGGTGAGTAAGTGTTTGGGAGTAATCATCCAAAACTGAAATGTGTGTGACAACACTAAAAGAAACCTTACTTTAAAAAGCAAAAATAAATATTTTTGCAAGTTGATTGCCAATGAGAGTGGACTCTCGTGGGTGACCCTGCTGACAGAGGGGGTCTTTATTCATACTCTGACAAATAAGGGATGAACATGTGGCTGTGTAAGGACAAGGCTGTCTCGTGATTATATCTATACACGAGTAGAGAAAGGTGAACATTAGAATTCGTTACTACTTACACTGCCAAATGTCTTTATAGTACTCTTTTTACTACATGGATTTAAACGCATTAGTGTGCTGGGTGAGTAGGCGATGGAAGGAACCAGAAGGGAAATTGAGAGGCTGGTGGTTCTCAACTGTTTTGCTTGCCTACTCTTAGGAAAGAAAAATCTCCTCAGCTTAAAACAAAATTCACAGCAATGAAAATGTTAACCCAAACACCAATAGCTACAACTTGGAGAGTAGGCATACTAGGAGCTGTTGCATGCTTTTTGCTCACTCTCACATCTACTGCTCCTGAATTTCCCACAATCCCAAGATAGGAAAAGCTTATTCTAGAACTCCGCATTCAGAGCCCTAGAGTAGAAGCAGTCCAGAAAGATTCCATTTGATTTGCATTTTCAAACAGAAAAGATTTGACCCTGAAGCTACTTGATACTCGTAGATAGTGAAGTGGGGCCAGAGAGATGGCTCAGCAATTGGCATCCACGCCAAACCACGTGACTTTAGTTTGGTCCTCAGGATCTATATATCCTGAAGGGAAAGAACTGACGCCTAAAAGTTGTTCTCTGACCTCCACATAGGATGTGGCAGGCGTGCCCCCACACACGATCACCTCCCTCACGCTAAATAAATGACATAGGAAAAAAAAAAAAAAAGCTGGTGAACAGGCTATCCCTAACAGCAGGTCTAGACATCATCCGTTCCTTCCCAGGAAGGAACTGGGAACACAGGACTCGCTTGCTTCCGATATTTACTGCTACAAGTGGCCCATTTTGCCATTACAGATAGAGCTGAACAGTTGAGGCCGCTCCTTCCCTACCTCAGTCTCTCCTCTCTTCTGGGTCCCACCCAGCTCACGTACTCATTCAGAAGTCCCACTCAACCTCTTACACAGCACACATGTGGTATCTGTGCTACCCTGCCCCATGGAAGCTCCGTGGTGCCCTGCTTACAAGAGCCTTGAAATTCCTGTTCACATTGTTCACTGTTTTAAGGAGAACTTTGGGGCAGGGGAGGCAGATCTGAAAATGAAGAGTTAATAAGAGCAGACACGGGCGGGAGCCCTAGATACATCACAGAGGTTTTGTTGGAGACCCCGACGCCCCTCCTGGGTGGACGGAAACTCAGAGGAGCCGTCGTTTAAGCAAAGAACTCAGCTGTATTCTGTGGGAAGGCACCTGCCACCCGCGACACTTCGTGGACACGTTGTCTTTCTAAGAACCTTCTACATTGGTGTCCTTCCTCTAGCTTTTCCTCCTGAACTTTGCTTTTGTTTGTGGTACTTAGACATGCTGTTTTCTCTCCTCTGTGTGTGTCCTACGACTTGATCTAATTGTCCTGCTGTTCAAGTGTCACTTGGCATTATTACTGGAAAGATGAATGGGATATGGGTCAGAGTTCAGCAAGAAGGCATCTGCTTGCTTGCCGTGCAGAGTGGAAGCACTCCGAAGTGGTCTTTAATGAAAGCTTGGAGAGCATTTGCCAGAGGAGGCTGTCCCTTGCGCTTCTTCCTCGGAGGGGTAGAAAATGAGCAAACGGAGGAGTATCTTTCCAGAAAGCTCCCTGTTGGCGGTGTCTTTTTCTAAAGTAGGGGAGAAAATGGGGGGGGAGGGGCTGTGTGACTAAACAGTGAGAAGAAAAATGGAAGCTTTTGAATGGATACTAACCATTTGCCTATTTGGTACACAGAACATCACTGAAAAAGTTTCCACTCCGCTTGCAACGCCTCTCACCCTCTGGTGTCCTGTGGCCTCATGTTACTGTGCTTTCTCAAGCTCAAATTCTCTTACTGGAGTCTCTTAAGCTGACAGTTCTTCCACTTAGCCCCAACAGATGAGAACCTACAGTTGCTCTAGCCCTTTAATAGGATAATGGCTGCATTGTTCTTGCAAGTGTCTTCTCCATCGAATTTTTTTGACACCAAGGGAGGCGGTCCAGGGCCTTTGGCGAGTCACCTTCCTACCTTTCCTCCCTGCTAGTCACAGAGTGGAAGTTGGTAGGAGGAAATCCAACTCAGGAAGCTCATTTTAGTCCAGGTGCCACCTGCAGCCCGGTTTTCCTTGTGCACCTCTGGGCAGATGTCATGCGCTGGCCCCTGGGATTGCTTGAGCAAGCACTAAAAATACCCAAGGCAAGAAGAACCCAAGACTGGCTGCAGAAGCGGCTCCGAGGTGGGTGGGGATCCCTCCACTGCCTTCCAGGCGCGGGAGTCCGGGAGTCCCCGCTCAGGCAGCACCTAGGCAGCGGGATTCCCCAGCCGCCTTCCAGGAACCCCGCGGAGCCCAGGCTGCTCCCTAGGGCACAACCTGCAAGCTTCACGCCCCAGCCCTTGAGAGGGAGCGCGGTGCCCCTCTCTGAGCATGCGCGGTTCTCTCCCCGCCTCTCAGCACCCCCTCACGCCCCCTGCCCGCCGGCCTTTTGCTCCTTCCCTTTCATTAAACAAACGGGAGGTCCCAAAACCCGGACCCAACGGCGAGAGGTGGCAGCAGAGCAGGCTGAGCTCGGGGTAGTCGCGGAGAGGGATCTGCGATCCCTCGCATCCCCGCCTCCCACTCCCCCCCCCGCCCTCGCGCGCACCACACACACACACACACACACACACACACACACACACA